ATCAATGGAAACCACACCTCGTTCCCAGGCTGTCTTTTTCCATTCGGTTCCTGTTTTCCCCAGCCCCCATTTACGGCTTCAGCAGGCAGAAGCTCTGACACTGAATCTATGGACAAAACACCTCCATCCCAGGCTGTCAGTTTCCATTCGGATCCTGTGTTCCTGAGCCCCCATTTAGGGCTTCAGCCGTCATCGGTATTTCAGCACGTAGCAGCTCTGACTCTGAACCTATGGACACAACACCTCCATCCCAGGCTGTTATCTTCCATTCGGCTCCTGTTTTCCCCAGCCCCCCAATTTACGGCCTCAGCAGGCAGAAGTTGTGACACTGAACCTATGGACACCACACCTCCTTCCCAGGCTGTCATTTTTCATTCTGCTCCTGTTTCCTCAGTCCCACTTTTACGGATTCAGCCGTCATAGGTACTTCAACAGGTTGAAGCTCTGACACTGAACCTATGGACAACACACCTCCTTCTCAGGCTGTCATTTTCCATTCGGCTCCTGTTTTCCCCATCCCCCCAATGTAGACTTCAACAGGCAGAAGGTCTGACACTGAACCTTTGGACAACACAACTCCATCCCAGGCTGTCATTTTCCATTTACCTCCTGTTTTCCCCGAAACCCCCATTTACGGCTTCAGCATGCAGAAGCAATGACACTGAACCTATGGACACCACCACACCTCCTTCCCAGCTGTCATTATCTACTCGGCTCCTGTAATCCCCAGCTCCCAATTTACGGCTTCAGCAGGCAGAAGCTCTGACACCGAACCTATGGACACCACACCTCCTACCCAGGCTGTCATTTTCCATTCGGCTCCTGTTTTCCACAGCCACCCGTTTATAGCTTCAGCAGGTAGAAGTTCTGATACTGAACCGATGGACACCACACTTCTTTCGCAGGTTGTCATTTTCCATTTGGCTCCTGTTTTCCTGAGCCCCCCATTTAGGGCTTCAGCCGTTATCAGTACTTCAGCAGGTAGCAGCTCTGACACTGAACCTATGGACACAACACCTCCTTCCCAGGCTGTCACTTTCCATTCGGCTCCTGTTTTCCCCAGACCCCATTTACGGCTTCAGCTTGCAGAAGCTCTGACACTGAACCTATGAACATCACACCGCCTTCCGAGGCTGTCATTTTCCATTCGGCTGTTTTTTTTTCCAGGCCCCCATTTTTGGCCTCCAGAGGCAGGAGCTCTGACACTGAAACTGTGGACAACACAGTTCATTCCCAGGCTGACATTTTCCATTCGGTTCCTGTTTTCCCGAACCCCAATCGACGGCTTCAGCAGGCAGAAGCTCTGACACTGAACCTATGGACACCACACCTCATTCCCAGGATGTCATTTTCCATTCTGCTCCTGGTTTACTCAGCCCCCCTTTTACGGATTCAGCCGTCATGGGTACTTCAACAGGTTGAAACCCTGACAATGAACCTATGGACAACACACCTCCTCCTCTGGCTGTCATTTTCCATTCGGCTCCTGCTTTCCCCATCCTCCCATTGTTGGCTTCAACAGGCAGAAGCTCTGACACAGAACCTATGGACAACACACCTCCTTCCCAGGCTGTCATTTTCCATTTGGCTCCTGTTTTCCACAGCCACCCATTTATAGCTTCAGCAGGTAGAAGTTCTGATACTGAACCTATGGACACCACACTTCTTTCGCAGGTTGTCTTTTTCCATTTGGCTCCTGTTTTCCTGAGCCCCCCATTTAGGGCTTCAGCCGTTATCAGTACTTCAGCAGGTAGCAGCTCTGACACTGAATCTATGGACACAACACCTCCTTCCCAGGCTGTCACCTTCCATTCGGCTCCTATTTTCCCCAGACCCCATTTACGGCTTCAGCAGGCAGAAGGTCTGACAATGAAGCTATAGAGAACACACCTCCTTCCCAGGCTGTCATTTTCCAGTGGGCTCCTGTTTGTTCCAGG